CACTGTGCTAGATGACGTTCTATGCTTTGATGAGGTTGAGTATTTCTGTCTACTAGTCCTGGTGGTGAGATAAAATATGTTAAAATGTTAATTCGTGGCACCAAGTGCCATTTTCTTGACAGCGGGCAATCCTCCTTCCTGGTCCATGTTAGAAAGTACCCACTTGTTCACAAGAAGTGCTTGTTGTTCATTTGATGCATCCTTAAAAATCTTCAACCAACATTATATATTAATGGTTAAAGTTTATTTGTAAATGCAAGACAAGATGAATTTGTATCTTTAGTAAATGCAACATTTGAAATAGATGCAACTCGGGAGGGGGGAAAATAACAAGTTTTGAGTCTGCTTGAGATCTTGAGAGATTTTTGACAGTTTTTAAACTAGGCATGTGACTGTTAAAACTCGAATCATGAAGAATACTCACAGCCAACAGATAAGTAAGATTTTCAAGTTTAGCCTAAGGTTGAAACTTGTCCACCAAAACAATGGATGTACGTCCCTCTGCCTGAGGTGACACTATCATCACTGCTAAGTTGATACCTGAAGAAATGGATTATGCTAGTGTCTACCTACCATGAACCATTTTGGTTCTAATATCAGTAGTGACTCTGGTTGACTTTAAGCATGTAAGACACTTCATCTCACTCGTCTGGATTGTTTTAAATTGAGTAAACTGGGAAGTATCTTTGCATGAACCAACTGCTTAAATTTGACAAGACTTCTGGAAAAGATCGCACTGATCTTTAACTACCATGTTTCCTTAGTTATTTCTTGAATTAATCTGTCACCAATTAAAATCACAGCATCACTGAAATGCAGCATTAGCCGTGACTAATAATCTACTACAAGCTCTGGTTTCTGATGGACTAGCAGAAGGGAATTATATATCTATAAACTGTCCAGTTTTCAGTAATATTTTTATGTTTATACTGATTTTAATTTTCAAACAATTAATGTTTTTGTTGAGGGCGTGATGAAAGGGAATAATTTAAGGGCATAAACAGGGTAGATAGGGAGAAATGTCCCCTCTTTTGTAGAGGGTTCAGTAGCTAGGGAGCACAGTTTTAAGGGGCAGGAGATTTGAGGGGGAGAAAAGTTCTCACCCAGAGTGAGATGCGACTGTTAAAACTCAAATCATGAAGAATACTCACAGCCAACACCCAGATCTGGAGCTCACTGCCTAAAAGGATGGTAGAGGGGGGAACCAACAAGACATTTAAGCAGTATTTAGATGAACACATGAAGCATAAAAAAAATGGCCCAAGTAGTGGAAAATAGGATTAGAATAGACAAATGCTAAATGGCCAGTGTGGACACGATGGACTAAAGACCTGTAGATTTTTCTGAGCTGTAAATTTTCTGTGACTCTAATTTCTTTGTTAATTCTGTCATCAATTTTTAACTTACAGATGCTAGAAAATAAAAATTAAAGCAGAAAATCTTAGTAATATGCAAGTCACACTCTTGTCCAGATACAAAGTTGAAGTTTCAGGTCAACTGTTTGTTAGCTTGTCACACCCCTACTAAATGCAAATTGGTTGCCATGTTTCCTTGCTTAATAACAACTGTTGTTCTGTTAATAGATAAAACAGTGTGGAGCTGGAGGAGCACAGCAGGCCAGGCAGTGTCAGAGGAGCAAAAAGTTGACATTTTGGGTCGGGGCGCCAAGGAGCTTTCCTGCTCCTCTGCTGCCTGGCCTGCTGTGCTGCTCCAGCTCCACACTGTGTTATCTCTGACTCCAGCATCTGCAGCTCTTATTATCTCTGTAATTCTGTTAAAGCATGGATTTATAAAAAGATTTTCACATCCTTTATAAACAAAATTTTTTATTCTGTCATGACACGATATAAGGAGTGGCTGGAAAGGCTCAGCAGATATGGCAGTGTCTGGAGAGAAATGAGTGTTAATGCTTTGGGTCGAGTGACCCTTCCTCAGAACTGAGGAGTCAACCCAAGGAAAGCGACGGGCCTGAATGGTGTCCCTGGCCAAGTGCTCAGATCCTGTGTGGATCAACTGTCTGAGGTATTCACCAACATCTTCAACCTCTCCCTCCAACAAGCCAAAGTCCCCACCAGCTCCAAGAAGACCACCATCATCCCCATACTTAAGAACGCACATGCAATGTGCCTTAATGACCTCCGCAATGGCTCTGACCTCAGTAATCCATGAAGTGCTTTGAGAGGCTGGTCATGGCCCACATCAATTCCAGTCTCCCAGACTGGCTCAATCCCCTACAATTTGTCTACTGACATGACAGGTCCACAGCAGATGCCATATCCCTAGCCCTGCATTCATCCTTGGAACAAGGACACCTACATCAGACTCCTGCTCATTGACTACAGCCCCACCTTCAACACGATTATCCCCTGCAGACTGATCTCAAACTCCATGACCCTGGTCTGGGCTCCGCCCTCTGCAACTGGATCCTCAGCTTTCTGACCCACAGACCGCAATCAGTGAGAATAGGTAACTGCAACCTCCTCCACAATAACACTCAACACTGGAGCCTCCCAAGGATGTGTCCTCAGCCCCCTACTGTACTCCCTGTACATCCACTACTGTGTTCCAAATTGCAAGCGAACACCATCTACAAGTTCGCTGACGACACTGTCGTAGTAGGACGGATACCTAACAACAACGAGTCAAAATACAGAAGGAAAATCGAGGGATTGATGACATGGTGCAATGAGAACAACCTCTCGATGTCAGCAAAACTAAAGAACTGATCATTTCCTTAAAGAAAGGAGGAGAACACGCCCCCATCTACATCAACAGAACTGAGGTTGGGAGGGTGGAGAGCGTCAAGTTCCTCAGTGATAACAACCGGCAACCTGTCCTGGACTTCCCACGTAAATGCCTCTTCTTCCTTAAGTGGCTTAAGAAATTTGGCATGTCAGTTAGGACCCTCACTGAATTCTACAGACGCACGATTGAAAGCATACTGTCCAGGTGCATAACGGCTTGGTATGGCAACTGCTCTGTCCAGGACCGTAAGCAGCGACAGAAGTAGTGTGCACAGCCTACACCTTCTCGGAAGCCAGCCAACCATCCATGGACTTCATTTACATGATAATGACCTCTTACAACCTCTTCCGTCAGAAGAAACAGAAGCTTGAACAAACGCACCAGCAAGTTCAGAAACAGCTTCTTCCCGCCCGTTATTAGACCAATGAATGAAATCTCTAGCCTCAAATAATGCTGATCTTGCTAAAATTGATCTGGCCTGGTGCACGTCCTCAGCAGTGTAACCTGTTGAAGAAACTTTGGGTCTGGCAACAGTCTGGAGAGAGAAACTGAGCTGACATTTCAAGTCCAATAATTCTCCTTTGGAACTTTAAAATTGTCTAAGTCTTTTTGGTCCGTACATCCTTGCTTACCATGATCTGCCTGTACTGCTCCGAAATAAAGCTTTTCACTGTACTTCGGTACATGTGACAATAAATAAATCAATCAACCTGAAACATTAATTCTGATTTCTGTCCACAGGTGCTGCCAGACTTGCTGAGCTTTTCCAGCAACTTCTATTTTTTTCTCTGACCTACAGCATCTGCAGTTCTTTCAGTTCTTACTACATAAGGAGTGCCAGGCTGAAGTTGGAAAACCTATTTTGTTTAAAAATTCCTAACTATATCACTGAAATCCAAAGACTTTTAAATCTAGGTGTTGCAAAAGATGGGAGATGCTTCATTTCATCTCTTGTTTGCACAGTACAGTACATTCTCACACGTTTAAACAGAAGTCGAAATCATGCCATTTCAAACATAAAGTCCTAGAAGTAGTGTTAGGAACAAGATGGGTTGCATAAGAACCATCCAGCTTTCAGAAGTAGCTGTATTAAAGATAAAATGCTTCCTTTTAGTAAAAGACTTTAACTGATATTTAGTACGTCCTGAAACTAGAAAAAAACCTGGCGTCTTCACCAAAAGAAACCCGATAAATATTTAAAGGGGTGATGCCTCCATATTTGGGGGTTTCTGTGCAGTTTGACTCCAGGATATTACTTGTGCTGCAATATTACTTGTGCTGCAATATTACCTCAATACTTCAGAGCAGTTTCTTTCCCTCTAAGAATAGTCCATTTAAAAGTCCAGGAAATTACGTGGGACAAAATAAGTTGTCATGTTGCATTGTCGGATGTTAAGATCCACAATTATAGCTCTTTCTTTAGAGAAGCACATTTTGGGCTCCCAAATCTTTAAACTATGATTTACAGTGCTGAAGAAACTCTGATCTGGCAGCAGTCTGGAGAGAGAAACTGAGTTGACATTTCAAGTCCAATGATTCTTCGTTGGAACTTAAAATTGTAACTTAAAATTTGGAAGCCAATTCATTGGTGTTTGCAACAGCACTTAAACAGCCAGCAGAAATTTCTGATGTCATATCCTCCCCGATAGCATTTCACATAGAGACACATTGGAGACATTGTCAAGTGGATCATTTTACTAACATGTGCATTATCTCAAACATTTCATTGTTCATGGTTTGTGAGGAGAATGGCAAAAGATTTTTCAGTCATTCTGCTGAACGTTCAGCCTCTAGAACCATTAACTGTGCTCTCTGATAGATAACTGCCTGATTTTCAGTATTTAAGAAGTGTAGACTTGAAAGATGTCTTGTGCTTTCTTAGTCTCTTCTAGAGTATGATAAATGGCCAGTAGAGGGCAATTAGTGTGAAATATTTCTGTACAGTGAGTATAGACAGCAAGGCCCTTATGTGTGGTGTACCCATTATTTGCATAAGTGATTATTTTGTCATACACACAAGCAAGGAACTGGGGTATTGAACCCCAATGAAGATTAAACGTCAGTGTGTAGTGCCTGGTTCTATTTAGTGTCCCAAGAGAGATCCTGCAATATAAACAGGATACCACTCTTCTTGCCAAATAAATCCTGAGTAAGGTCTAATGTTTATTAGTGACTATGCAGACATGTTAATATCATAATGGCAAAATAGTCCCTTGTTAGAGCAGCAAAGCATAATCATTCCTTTGTCACTGCAGGTGATGAATATGAGGTGTGCGCAATTTGTCTAGATGAATATGATGAAGGTGACAAGCTTCGCATCCTGCCCTGTTCACACGGTAAGCAAATACTTCTCAATTCTGTAATGAGCAATCTTAAAACACTCCGGCCGATGTTATATTAGCTTCTCCCTGGTCGACTTCGGCAGGTCCCTCACTTGTCCACATCAAATATAGAATGTTAAATTAACACATTTCCTTCACCCCCCCCCCCCCCCCCCCCCCCCCCACTACCTTCACCAATTGTTTCCTATTATTATCATAGAACAGTACAGTGTAGGAACAGGCTATTTGGCTCACCATGTATGTGCCGACCATGATGCCATTCTAAACCAATCCTATCTGCCTGCACATGGTCCATATCCTTCTATTCCCTGCCTGTTCATGTAAATTCCTCTTAAAATTTGTCTCTTCACCTGGCAGCATGTTCCAGGCACCTACCATCCTCTGTAAAAACCTTCCTTGCACATCTCCCTTAAACTTGTCTCCTCTATTTTAAATTTATGCCCACTAGTATTTCACATTTCCACCCTGTCCAAAAGACTCTGACTGACCATCCATCCTATCTATGCCTCTCATAATTTTATATACTTATATCAGGTTGTCCCTCAGCCTCTGACACTTCTAGCGAAAACATTACAAGTTGACCATCATCTCTTTATGGTTAATGCACTGCAATCCAGGCAACATCCTGGTAAACCTCTTTTGCACCATCTCCAAAGCCTCCACGTCCTTCCTATAGTTTTGCAACCAGAGCTGCACATAATACTCCAAACAAGGGGACCACAGGATCCCTGTGTATATCAATTATCCTAAGGATCCTGCCATTAGCTGCATACTTTCTTGCATTTGACCTCCTGAAATGCGTCACCTCGCACTTATCCAGATTAAATTTCACCTGCCATCTTCCTACCTATCTACAATTCCACCAATTTTCCTATTCGTCTGCAAACTAATCAGACTGCCTGCATTTTCATTGAAATCATTTATATATATTTCAAACAGCAGAGGACCCAGCACTGGCCTTTGTGGAGCAGCAGTGGTCATAAATGTCCAGTCAGAATAACACCTCTTCACAGCTATCCTCTCTCTGCCATGATGAAGCCAATTTGCCAACTTACCATGCGTCTTCTAGACCAGCATACCATAAGGGACTTTGTCAAATGCTTTAGTAAAGTCCATATAGGCAACATCTGCCACCCTAGCTTCATCAATCATCTTAATTACTTCCTCAAAAACTCAATCAAGTTTGTGAGACAAGACCACAAGACCACCACCACCACCCCCCCCCCCTCCCCACCCCATAAAGCCATGCTGACTATGACTCTAAAGGACTTATTAGGCATAGAGATTTACAGCACAGAAACGTACCCCTCGGTCCAACCCGTCCATGCTGACCAGATATCCTAAATAAATCTAATCCCATTTGCCAGCATTTGGCCCATATCCGTCTAAACCCTTTCTATTCATATACCCATCAGATGCCTTTTATATTTTGTAATTGTTCACCACTTCGTCCAGCAGTTCATTTCATACACGCACCACGCTCTGTGTGAAAGCTTTGCCCTTTAGGTCCCTTTTAAATCTTTGCCCTCTTAACTTAAACTTATGCCCTCCTAGTTTTGGACTTCCCACCCTGGGCAAAAGACCTTGCCTATTTACCCTATCCATGCCCCTCATGATTTTATAAACCTCTATAAGGTCACCCCTCAGTCTCTGACCGTCCAGGGGCATTAATCCCAGTTTATTCAGCCTCTCCCTATAGCTCAAACCCTCTAACCCTGGCAACATGCTTGTAAATCTTTTCTGAACTCTTTCAAGTTTCACAACATCTTTCCTATAGCAGAGAGATCAGAATTGCACACAGTGTTCCAAAAGTGGCCTAACCCTATGTCTTGTACAACCGCAACATAACCTCCCAACTCCTGTACTCAATGCACTGACTAAAGGCAAGTATACCAAACACCACCTTCATGATCCAGTCTACCTGCAACTCCACTTTGCAGGAACTATGAACCTACACTGCAAGGTCTCTTTGTTCAGCAGCACTTCCCTGGACCTAACCATTAAGTGTAGAAGTCCTGCCCTGATTTGCCTTTCCAAAATGCAGCACATCTCATTTATCCAAATTAAACTCCATCTGCCTCTCCTTAGCGCATTGGCCCACCTGATCAGGATCCCACTGTATTGTGAGAAAACTTTCCTCGCTGTCCACTATTGGTGTCATCTGCAAACTTACTAACCATACCTCCTATGTTCGCATCCAGATCATTTATATAAATGACAAAAAGCAGTGGACCCAGCACCGATCCTTGTGGCACACTGCAGGTCACAGGCCTTCAGTCTGAAAAGCAACCCTCCACCACCACCCTCTGGCTTCTATCTTCAGACCAGTTCTATATCCAGATGGCTAGTTCTCTCTGTGTTCCAAGTGATTTAACCTTGTTAACCGCCGGAACTTTGTCAAATACCAAACACATGATTTCCCATGCACAAAGCCGTGTTGACTATCCCTAATTAGTCCTTGCCTTTCCAAATACATGTAAATCCTGTTCCTCAGGATTTCCTCCCACAACTTGCCCACCACCGATGTCAGGCTCACCAGTCTAAAGTTCCCTGGGTTTTCCTTACCACCTTTCTTAAATTGTGGCACAACGTTAGCCAACCTCCAGTCTTCCGGCACCTCACCTGTGGCCATCGATGTTACAAAGCTCATTGAGGGGCCCAGCAATCACTTCCCTAGCTTTCCAGAGTTGTAGGGTACACCTGATCAGGTTCCAGGGATTTATCTACCTTTATGCATTTTAAGCCATCCAGCATTACCACTTCTGTAAAATGGACATTTTTCAAGATGTCGCTATTTATTTCCCCACATTTTATATCTTCCATATCCTTCTCCACAGTAAACACTGATGCAAAATACTTGTTTAGTATCTTCCCCCATCTCCTGCGGATCCACACGTAGGTGGCCTTGCTGATCTTTAAGGGATCCTATTCTCTCCCTAGTTACCTTTTTGTCCTTTAATGTATTTGTAGAATCCCTTTGGATTCTCCTTAACCCTATTTTCCCCAAGTTATCTCATCCCCTTTTTGCCCTCCTGATTTCCCTCTTAAGTATATACATAGAACATAGAAAGGTACAGCACAGTACAGGCCCTTCGGCCTACGATGTTGTGCCGAACTTTTACCCTATACCTACTGCCTTTCTCCACTTTTATAGGGATTCACCAATCTCTACCGTTTATATCTGACACGTGCTTCCTTCTTTCTCTTGACCAAAGCTTCAATTTCTCTAGTCATCCAGCATTACCTACACCTACCAGCCTTGCCCTTCATTCTAACAGCAACATACTATCTCTGGACTCTCGTTATCTCATTTTTTTGAAAGCTTCCCATTTTCCAGCCGTCCCTTTTACCTGCAAGTGTCTGCTACCCCCACCTCCCCCACAATCGACATTTGAAAGTTCTTGCCTAATACCATCAAAATTGGCCCTCCTCCAATTTAGAACTTAACTTTTAGATCTGGTCTGTCCTGTGCCATCACTATTTTAAAACTAATAGAATTATGGTCACTGGCCCCAAAGGGCTCCCCTACTGACACCTCAGTCACCTGCCCTGCATTTATTTCTCAAGAGTACGTCAGGTTTTGCACCTTGTCAAGTAGGTACATACACTTCCTTTCGAAATGTGAGTAAATCCTATCCCTAAGAATCTTCTCAAATAATTTCCCTACCACTGATCAGCAGCCCATAATTTCCTGGAATATCCTTGTTGTTTTCCTAAACAAAATTACAGCATTGGCTACTCTCCAATCCTCTGGGACCGCTCCTGTGGTTACAGAAGATACCAAAATCTCTATCAAAGCCCCAGCAATCTTCTCCCTTGCTGCCTCCATTATCCTGGGATAGATTCCATCATGTTCTAGGGACTTATCTACTTTGATTTTTTTTTTGTAGACTTCCAATACCACCACCACCTTTAAAATCATCATGTCCCAGAATATCATCATACCCCTCCCTAATCTTACCATCATCTCCTTGGTGAATACTGGTCTAATCATTAAAGACCTCACCCACTTCCTCTAGCTCCAAGATAAATTCTCTCCTGTGTTCCTGAGTGGATTTATCCTTTGCCTAGTTCTCCCCTTGCTTTTAATGTGTGTTAAAAGCCTTGGGATTCTCCTTAATCCTACTTGCCAAGGACATTTCCCCTTTTAGCCGCCTTAATTCCTTGTTGTAGGTTCTTTCCTGCTTCCTTTATATTCCAGAAGGGCTTTCTCTGATCTCAGTTTCCTAAACCTCTCATAAACTTGCTTTTTCTTTTTAACTAAACTTTCAATACCCCTTGTCATTCAAGGTCTCCAAATCTTGCCATCCTTATCTTTCATCCTCACAGGAACATGCTGGTCCTAAACTCTGATCAACAGGCTATTAAGATTCCCACATGTCAGATATGAATTTACCCTCAAACAGCTGCTCCCAATCTAATTTCTCCAGTTCCTGTCTAATACTGTTATAGTTGGCCTTACCCAGTCTAGCACTTTCACCTGAGGACCAGTCTTAGCCTTATCCATAACTTTGTTAAAATTTATGGAATTATGATCACTGTTCACAAAATGTTCCTCCTCTGAAACTTTGATAACCTAGCCAGGCTCATTCCCAAAAAAAGTCTAATACAGCCCCTATCCAAGTTGAACAGTCTTTATATTGTTTCGAGATGCACCTACCAAACTCCGCTCCAACTAAGCCGCTGGTACTAAGGTAGTCACGTCCGTGTTGGAGAAGTTAGAATCACCCACTGTAACAGCCCTGTTTTTTTAAATCCTTTCCTGATGTGGTGATCTCCTGCTGGCTATTGGTAGGCCTATAGTATGACCCCATCAGTGATTGTACCTTTCTGAATCTTAAATTCTACCCATATGGCCTTGCTGTCTGAGTCCTCCAAAATGTCGTCCTTTGGTATAGCTATGACATTTTCCTTAATCAGTGATGCAACTCCCCCACCCTTTCTACATCTCTAACTCATCTAAAATATCTAAGCCTTGGAACATTGAGCTGCCAGTCCTGCCCTTTGCGCAACCAAGTTTCTGTAGTGGCTATAATATTGTGGTTCCATGTGCTAATCCAAGCTATAAGGTTTATCTGCATTGCCTGTTGCACTTCAGACTGCCAGTCTCACTGTGTTCATTAACCTACTCATCTGTTATATAGTCCCAAAGTTGAGACATTGATAAAAACCAAAAGAACTGTGGATGCTGTAAATCAGGAACAAAAACAAAGTCGCTGGAAAAGCTCAGCAGGTCTGGCAGCATCTGTGAAGGAGAAAAGAGTTAACGTTTCAGGTCTGGTGACCCTTCCTCAGAACAGTTCTGAGGAAGGATTCACCAAACCCAAAACATTAACTCTGTTTTCTCCTTTTGAGACTTTGATACCAGGTCAGACTCAAATCTCAAGCATACTGAATATAAACTTTTTAATGTTTTGTATGATCAGGTTTACAACATTCTTCCATATTTGTAGCTCGAAAGGTCCATCATGCCCTGGGAACTTATCTACCTTGATGTTTTTTTATAGACTTCTAATGCCCATTAATCTGTCATCTGATCTAATGGTATTGAAGGACAAATGTGAATAGTATGTTTTATTTTTGTAGTACTGGCAAATGTTAAGTGCATATTTCCTATTCAATCTTTTTGTTCCCCTAATTTATGTGCCCAGCATACCACTGTAAATGTGTAGACCCGTGGCTAACGAGAACAAAAAAGACCTGCCCTGTCTGCAAACAGAAGGTGGTGGCATCTCAGGGAGAATCAGATTCTGAAACTGATGATGTAGATAGCAGCCACGAAGAAAATGATGATGCCTCTGAAAACACACCTCTGCTGAGATCTTCACTTGCCTCCACCAGTGCGCATTCCTTTGGTACCATGTCAGAATCTCGATCTCGCCAAGAAGCAGTGGAATCATCGGAATATGAAGAGGAGGAGGAAGAGGGAGAAAGCAGCGATGCTGAGGAAGGAGTCAATGAAGAAACAGTAGTTCAGATGCAGCAGGAAAACCCTGAAGCTGTTGTCGGAGAGAGAGGAACCAGAGAGTCTGCCGCAATAGTTTGATTTAGTCTTTTTTTCTGAAAAAATGAAATCTGCACATCCTCAAAACAATGTGTCAAAATTAAAAGTTCAGGAAATTTTTCCATTTGCTTTTCCACATTTTATCCATTGCAACTTTACAACATATATGCAACTTTTGTAGGGATTTAAAATCTCTCACAGCTCTTTGCTCATTTCTGCTGCTAGAATAAAGTGCAGCAGTCATCCATAGATTTTTGGTAACCCAAGCAGCACTGAGGTTTCTCCAAAATTGTTGCTGTCCTATTTGGCACTGCTGTCAACCTGTAAAGCTGTTACATTGATCACCCAGCCATGGTAGTTGGGTTCAACTTCTTATTCAGATACTAAGCCAATGACTTTAAGAAAAAGGAGTAACTTGAATATAAAATGGCTGAATGACACTGTTTCTTTGTAGAATGTTTAATCATGTTTTTTATCAATATATATTCTACATCAGAAACAAAGAATCCTACTAATTGTTTCAAATGTAAGTATATCTTGTTTTATTTACCAAAATCAAATTTATTGAAGTTAAAGTTCTCAAGTCATTTTGGATTTGATTTTTAAATGGGGATATTCTGTATCTAATTTCAGTTGTTATAAATCAAAATAAAATTACCCAAAGAATTAAGTTGAATTTACATTTTAAAGGCTAGTTTTTTTTTACTCTGCATTGTGTGAACACTTTAAAGTTGGACGTTATAATTTTAGTGGTAATTTGAATGGCATTTATCAAGTAGTGCAAAATATTTAGTTAGAATTCCAAAGTATGATTTTTTTAAAATTTGAGCTGCTTGAACAAACTATCGTCATTCTGTTAGATCACCTCTACAGTTGTATGAATTCGCTATGTCCCGCTGTGGTGCATAAACAAATTCTTAAATGAAGATGATCCTTCTAAAATAACTATAATAGAATTAACTTCCAAACTGTTACATGCAATTGTAGCGATGATGGTGATTGGATATGACATCATTTTCTAATAAACTTGTATGAAGTTGTTCTCAGCTAGTTGCTAACATATGTATGACAAGGGAATGTATATCAAAGTTGATATTGGAAACCCTTATAATTGAAGATTTCTTTTATCTCCTGCATCTTATTTCTGTTATCTTGAAAGGGGGACAATCTATGTTCTTTTAGGGACAATTAATTGTCTACTGGAAAACCCTAATGTGACAATTCAACTGATGGAAGTCAAGACTAGATATGATGTACATTATGGGCCACATTAAGTTTCCAAATGTAATTTTTTTAAAATAGGGACAGTTTATGTTCTTGGGTGACTTTTGTCCATTTAGGCCAACTATATTTTAAATGTACAGACATCTATTATTGCACAGTACTGTTAGGTTTCCTGCATTAGATTTCAAAAAGTTTGATCCGAGTCTTTCAATAATCACCTTGCCGACGCCCCTCAAAAATTTTTTTTAACGTGTGTTGGATGTGCTTCTGAATGTTAACTGAACGATTGAGTGTCTTGTTCTACATAAAAATAAAAAGTGTTGTCATATCCCACTCACTGCCAAAATCAGTCCTTTTACCTAATTATTGATTTGTTCACTGAGCTGGCATTCTAACTTCCAACTCAATTGAAATTCTGTAAACTTGCCAACGTTATCTTGTAAAGTTGATCAGTGCATGTCTGGGGATTGTGTACTTGGATCAGGTATGTTTATCTGTTATCCGTTTGTTTTGAATATTGAGCTTTGAGTCTTGGAACTGTAGGAAGATAAGACAATAGGAAGGAGGAGAAGCATATTGAGATTTAGTAGAAGCTAAGTTTTTATACAAGGTTTAGTGATAAATCAAATTGGTTGACTGTTTCAAACTAATCTCCAACAGCTGTGTGCCTCAAACCTAAAACTGATCAAACTCTGAGGAAATGTAATAGTTGTTAGCTTTCTCCATGACATTAATGTAGATTGAGATATAAAAACACTTAATTCTTGGAGTTATTTGCCAGTTTATATTTGACATGTTAACATTGCCTGTTTAACTAATGTGACTTCATACAAGTGTGTTTATAAATTTACCTGGTTTTACCCAAGAAGTTTTAGAATTCTGACGTTATGGAATTATTGGCATGACTGTATTCAACAAATGTCCCTTTGCTTCTGAATGTGTCCTATTGAAATTGTTGGCTAACTTTTTATGTGGTGTTTATGAACACAGGATGACTTCATTGTGACATTGTTGCAAACTGATGAACTCCATTGAAAATAATGCTGGGGTGCGTAAAGATGATCCCTTTCATAAATTGCTGCAGTGCTGTCACAAATGTTACTGGCCATTAAAAAAATGAAGAATTTTGTTTTCTGTTGAAAGACACTACGTTGCTGTTCTACCACGTGGCTTGTTTTGTCTCCCAGAATATGAGTGCGGGGAATGTTTCATTTGTGGGCAGTCCAACTTTCATGTGGCCAAAATCAAAAGAGCTTTAACTGTGGTACAGGTTTTTTTCATTCATTGTAATTAAATGTACCCAAGTACGGGAGTCTTGCACTGATCAGCTTTAGAAGGTTGAAGTGCACTTGTCACTGTACTTTGAAATGTTACTTTATCACTTAATATCAATGCACAGGGATCTAATAGGTTGTATAGCTTAGTTTGTAATAATGTTTGTAAATTTATTCCATTCAACTAATTTTGTATTCTTTTAATTTTTAACTGTGTACTTTTTAAAACTTTAAACTGACATGACTCATTAGAAATATGTCCAATTTAAAAAAGCTTTGTTATTCCATTCATCCACCTGGTATCCATTTTCATTTTTGGAAACTTTACACTAGGTTTACTCAACTGAAGACAATTACATCAAATTTGAGACATACTCCCAGAAGTATAAATAGATTGTGTAGACATTACAAACATTAATACTGAAGTGTTCTGAATTAAATGCAGTAATAAAAGTGTAAATAGAAAACAGCACTCCAATGCTATAATACAAATGTATCCAATTCTTCTTTACCTGTTCTTTTCAAATAAAGCCATGTAAATTGAAAAATCAGGCTGAGTTGATGGATCATTTCATGGATTAAAGGACTCCTGTTTTTAGTGTAATGGTAAATTTGATTTAAGGTCATGTCTTTTGAAATAATGTTGGCTGTACCCTAATAGCTGAACACTTGTTAATTACTACAATGCTGATTTTTGTTTTAAAGCAAATGCAATCTGAGAAATTCTCAGGATGTGGCCAGTTTGAATGCAGCCTATTGATAAAATAATCCTTAGAGCCTGCTCTATGTTAAAGATGCTACTGAATTACAGGAATAGAAATACTACCTCAGACCAATAAACTTGGCCTCAGTAATTCAGGATGTGTATGGTAAAATTAGCCAGGCTTATTTTCAATTTGCTACATAATGACTTTTGCTGAAAAACACACTAGTCTGGTGTCTCCTAGCCCTTTTGCACCAAATCCACTCATTGCAAACACAACTATTATGGGTGGTGGGGCAATCCTTTCTGCCTTCTACGTGTGGTTTATGTCTACATTGGTATATCCTCTGTTCTCCCTAACCCAATGCAAATTAGTATATCCACAATGACCTAAGCTAGTCTAGCTATGGCATTAATTTTCAATCTAGTACCTATTCTCTACATCTTGTTCAAAGTTACTTATTAAAACCACTATGGTACTACAAAAGCCCCCAACCTTTGCTCATCTAATCTAACCTTCAAATTACTTATCCTTCATATGCTCAACTAGCTTCCCCTAAATCAGTCTTGTTCCACTTCAATCATGTTGCAGTGCTGATGCCCAAATTATTGCCACTTGGGTGCCAAAGATTCTAAATTATCTATTGGATTTTGTGCTGATTTTTATATTGATGGTCTCCTGTTAGGCCTTTCCATAGAAACAGCAATTTTTTTTATTCACTCAAACCCCAGGACCTGACTGTTTCCATCTCAGGATGTTAAAGGACGTAGGGGAACACAGTTAGTTAGGGTATCCAATATGTGCCTTCAGCGTTGCCTGGATACAGGAGTCACCCATCTGGGTTGGAAAACTGTACAATTCACTTTCTTAAAGTAAAGTTGAAAGAGGAAAAAAACAGGGGCTTACAGACCAGCTTAATATCTGTAATGAGGGAATTGGGATAACTGAGCACCTAAAACTGAGTTAATCAGGGGGACGCAGTGTGGATTGATGACAGATAAGTCATAGCTGATAAACATTTAATTTTTTAGTAGCTAAGGCAGCAGACAGGGGAATGAATGTTTATAGCTGTTGTCAAATGCCTTCTGGGAGTCCAAAGTCATATTTATAGGTAGAAACTCACAGAACTGAGGGCAAATTATGAAAATACCTGGGAGATTCGTGAGTGATAGGTGACAAAGTAGAGATATGGGGTAGAAACTCTAGCAGCATGTGACTAGTGGTGTCGCATAAAGATCTGTTAGGGCTTCAATTATTCACATCTATTAATAACTTGAACAATTGCACAAAGTCACACATCCAAATGGGCTGATGACAAAGTGATCAGCGTCAAATTATATGCTGCCTAATTTGATGTGGCACAGTCGCTAGTACTGCTGCTTCACATCACCAGGGACCCAGGTTCAATTCCACACTGGGGGCGACTGTGGGTTTCTTCTGGGTGCTCCAGTTTCCTCGTGCAGGCCAGGTGGATTGGCTATGCTAAATCACCCACTGTTCAGGGATGTGTGGATTAGGTAGGTTATGGGGGGATGGGTCTGGGTGGGATGCTCTGAGGGTTGGCATGGACTGGTTGGGCCAAAGGGCCTGGTTCCACACTTGGGATTCTATGAGATCTAAGTTGTGTACAAAGGGACCGTGGTAGACAAAATGAATGGGCAAAAATGTTGACACAGATTCTAAAGTGTGTGGTTATCCCATTTCAATCCAAAATGGATTAAATCAGGGTATTTTCTAGATTGTAGGAGGACAAACCATCAATAGCCAAAGATGTCAGGGTTCAGGAATGTCTTAAATTCTACTAGACGGTGCAAAGTATAATCAAGGTGGCTAACACAATGCTGGCCTTTTATAGTCTAGCGGACTGGACTGCAAGGACACAGTTGTGCTTTTTTTTAAAAAAAAAAAAGCATTCACAGGGTGAGGGACATTGCTAGCTAGGCAGCATTTATTGCTTAGCCCTAGTTGCCTAGTGGGCAGTTAAGGGTCAACCCCATTGGTGGTCTGGAGTCATATGTAGGTGGCAGTTTCCTTTTAGGGAAGGACCTGAGTGAACAAGATGGGTTTTTCCAGCAAACAACAGTGGAGTCATGGTCATTGTTAGATTCTTAATTCCAGATATTTATTGAATTCAAATTCCACCATCTGTCATGGTGGGATTTGATTCTGGGGCCCCACAATGTTATCTGGATTAACAGTCCAGTGATAATACCATTAGGCCATTGCCTCCCTTGTGCTGCAGCTATACAGATCCTCACTTGGGAGTACTGCAAACAGGTGTGGGCACCACATCTTATTAAAAGGATGTATTGGCCTTGGAGGGACGATAATACAAGAATAATTGGAAGTTTCTAAATTCTCCAGAATTTAGAAGGTTAAGGGCAATTTGATTAGAGGCTTCAATACAGTCACAGGGAAAGATAAGGTAGATAAGCTATTTCCAGTGGTTGGAGAACCTCTAGAACTAGAGGGCATAAGTCAATGAATTGGGGCTAGACCATCAGGAGATATGTTAAGAAACTCCTACACCCAGGGTAGATATTTTGAGTATTTCTACAAATAGATGAGAGATCAGTTGTCAAACTTTAGTTGGATTTAAAATTTAGTACTTCTTAAACTGAAGGGATATGGGCCAAAGGCAGCTATACAGAGTTAGGCCACAGATAAGCCATTTCACTGCATAGTGGAACAGGCTTGAATGGCATACTCATATGCTTTTAATCACATCACCCCTGCTCCCTAAGTTGCTCTTTAAAAAAAAAAAAAATCCAGCTTGTCACCCTCTCCTTATGTATACCCATGCATTTCTGATAGCATTCTTGGAGAAATCCCACTCTTTTTACAAAGTGACAAAAAATACACAGAACAATACTTTCATACACGTTTTCATTTTCTAACTGCCTAATAGGCATTTATTTAAAAACCTTCCTATCTTTTTGCTACAACTTCATTTTCATGCAGACCTATGTAAATTGTGATTTGAACATTTAAACAATGTGGTTAAGTTGGTTCAAAAGGGTAATTCCCTCTGAATTTTGTTCTTTCAAACCCTCCATTAAAGAAATGTAAAGTTGCAGAGGTGATGTACAAAAGGATGAGTTTGCTTTTAGATATGCAACTAGGTCTCAAAGTTAAACAAAGTCAGTTGATCAATTCTGAAGCCCAGAAACCATACAGATAGAAATGCACATGAATTCCAGGTTGTATTTCACAACAGACTGTTTATAAACAATAGTGGTACAGTAAGACTAATGCATTTATTTTCACATTTGATTCATATTCTTTGATTCATAATCAGACACCCTCCCCCACCATACAAAAACATACAGCCAACATTTGGTTGGAATAGATTTATTTCGTCTGTCTGTAAACAAGGTGGTTTAACAGTTATGGCATTTCGTAAATGCATATTAAATCAGATGAGTTAGACTGTATCCCAGATGTAACAAAAGTGCAGGGAAAGAAAATGGACAAGTCAGCAACAAGAATTTTTAAATCTGTACATATTTCACAAGGCCTGAACATTGAGTATATGCTAGAATAACGCCCCTAAGGAAGGAAGTGCCGTTCAACTGAAAGCCTTGCAGTGGCAGTTAAAATCCATCTCACAACAGCAACAGATCAAATCTCTATGCAGTATGGCACAGGATACACAAACATTTGCAAAATAATTTCACAAGACAGCCAAGTGTGATTATTCCAACCAATACCATCTCCCGTTTTATTCATGTGAATACAGAAGGTTTATAATTTTGTTTGAACGGAACATAAGTTAGTACTGTGCTCAAAAACAGACATTTCCACAGATTTCAAAAACTATGAGCACAAGGCAATTCTTCCACAGTTTCCTTCTGCAGCATGGGCTCACCAGGTCTAATGCATCAATTCCCTTGATTTGAAAGATTTTAAAATGAACAGTTTGTAATTTTCTATGTAGGAAACTGCCACCCACAGATACTAACAAAAGCAATGACCATCAACCAACATTCATGAAAAAATTTGAATATATTCATCCAAATTGCTAATGCCGTATTGAGTGGCAGCAGTCCTTTACAATGGCATCACACAGCAGTCTGTCCTCATTTAAAAAAACCCCAAGCTGCAACTTAATTGGTCCTATGAAGCACTCAAAACCGGACACACTCCAGATGGTTGTGTTTGGGATATCTACTGTTCAAAATGGCAACCTTTGTTAAAAAGTTAACTTACATTAAAAAGGAGCTGGCAAAACAATATTTTTAAGTGCCTGAGCTACTGCAAAGATGGAATGTCCCTGGAGATTAAACCTGATCAAAAAGTCAGGATTGTGACATGTCCATGGGGAGGAAAAAAATCATTTACACACACCTGGAGCAGTTCTGCAATTACACCCATGAAGTCAGAATGCACAAGGTCTAATACTACAGTTAGGCATTCATGTTAAGACTGCATCCACAAAACTGATGCAAAGTTATCCATTATGACTCATTTACAAGTAATGAAACTGAAGGAAAATCCAGATGTTTTAACAATGAGAATGGGTAATGGATGTACAGGAAAGCATAAAACAAATATTATGGCAAGCAGATAATGGATGCAGTTACCCTCCCAACATGCTCAAACGAAAACAGGAAGACTAGATGAGCTCTGCAACTTCGCAGAAGTGCTGACTCAGCAACACTTAATTTGAAATTGTACTACCAGCACCTTCTTTAATTTTAAAAAAGCACTTCAATAGGGAAGTGGAAGGAGAGAGAATAATCAGTACCTGGTTTGGTGATTCTGGATGTCAATTAATTCTCTAAATGCTAAAACAAAGCAATGCCCAGGCTTAGCAAGTCAGCCCTATTTTTTGCAACAATATCAGAAGTAATAACATGCACATCACCATTTAGTTATTGTGCTAATGGTGTCAAAACATGGGATTTACTTTCCATTACACCTACAATGTTATTACAATTAAGTAGTAAAGGGGCAATGGGAATAAATGTGATCAGAAGTGGATAAACTAAAAAAAAAAAAATTCTACCAACTACACCCTGGTAGCACTGCCAATTCAATTGGGTAGTGAGGATGAATGAGTTGCTACGTGGATGGGAAGAGGCTACTTAGTATCCAGAATTCCTCAGGTATGTAACCATGGTAAATGTTTTCTTGTTGAGTACCCCTCCATGGACACTTTCCTTTCCCATGACAACCAATGCTGGAGCACACAAAGGAGAAAAAAAAAAATGAAAAATTTAAACTTTCCCCACCAATACAGGGATATGAAGGAGACATGGGTTCATATCCCCACAACCCTGCACTGCTATTAAGCTTTCTGTAACTTCAATGTGAAAGAGTAGGTGACTGCTAAAGGAAACTTTAATAGCAATTTTTTTAAACTACTGAATAGGAATTCTGGCTAACTAGAATCCAGATTCTCTCAAGTATTTTGCCATCAAGAATGCCTTTTTATTGAGGATTCCTCCGTGGATCCCTTCTTTTCCCATTACAAAGACCAAGACTGAAAGAAAGAAAAAAAGGAAAACATTTCAAATTACACAGTCATGACAAAATATACAGTTACATAGCTTTATGATGACAAGCAATGCCTTACGTAAGCCTTTACTGCAGTAAGGTTTTATTCAAGTGGAGTTAAAACAAAATCTCAACTAGACCCAGATCCTTCAGCACAAGCCCCCACATTAAAATTTTAATATTCAATGCAATTATGTTGCAAGTTTAGCAATACTGCTCAAATCATGCAATGAAAATGCTTAACATGCAAATATCAATACCTTAAACCACCATACTTTATACAAATAAAGATCTTTTAAAAAGATAACCAAAATCTCAAAGTGAAGGAAAATGCATATAAACTAGCTGATGTATAATTCAGTAAGTCATTAGATCCTAGTAATATACTAGAAATGCAGTTTTACAGAAGTTCTCAGCTAGCATACAGCAAGACAGGAGCCAGTTCATGCAAAAGCAATTTTCAAAGTATTAGCCCTGATCACTTGGCCTTAACTGAAACCTAGATTGCTCATTAAAAAGGTTTTAAATTTTAAGTTGGTGACCAAGAGGACAAATCGCTCCATGAATACAATGCAAGCTGCTCTGAATTAATGAATAAAAACATTAGGTAGATACTATAGCTCCGTCAATGCATATAAAGTGATAGATTGAGAGAGGGCAGAGAAAAATTGTTTGCAAAAGGAAACGAAGTATAGAAAGAAACACAAGAAATTCCAGAATAAATACCTCTACAAACATGCTTTCTCATAAAAAGAATATTCATTTCTTGACCAAATAACTGCTTGTTGCTCTTTTTGCTGCCAAGTCAGAGTTAGAAAACAGTGTGGCAATCTGTCAGGGGCTACAAACATTCCTGATTTATTAGATTCAAGTGCTGAAAATGTGTCCATCATATCCATATAAAGCCATACCAGTTGAATATTTCAAAAACTGCTTTTTGTAAGTGCTTCTGTATTCTTGGACCAAAAGGTTTTTTGGTTGGAGTATTCAAACAGGTTATAGGGTTTTTGGGTTATTTATCCATACCGATCAAGAGGGCCCAACATAACAGCTTCAAACCTTACTGCTCATCTCTATAGACTCATCACAAGAATGGAAAACACTCCAAACTTATTAACATTATTTCAGGTAACCAGCCTAGCTGACAGTAATCCAAGGTGATTTATTTTTTGGATTTGAAGACTTAATAGAAGTTCCTTGTGTGACTCAAGAAATGTTGCAGCTTTATTACAGATAACTGTTTAGATAGTTCAGCAACCAGCATAGCAGTAAAAGAGCAAGGCTGGTGATAACGTTTGTTATGGGCACATTTCTCTTGGTATCAGTATAGATTTTAGTTACATCCAGTCTACACACGGAATGGGAGCTTCATTTATTGATAGATTACTTTTAGCAGCTTGGACTGAAAATCTGTAGACAGGCCAAAATACTGCAGATGAATATTAAACTATAGAAATATTTGAGGATAAATAGCTACATTTTTAAAAAATTCAACAGTCAAAATATGATATCAAAAAACGTGGCTACAGTACACATTAGCAGCTTTTACACTGCAGCAAAAAAATTCTAAATTATGGCAAGGGGTTAGGATAAATCACAGGTCAAGAGTATGATAAAACTCAAAAGGCAACAGTCGCTAGGGGTTTAAAAAAAATAGGAGAAATGTAGTTCCAAGGAGCCCTTCTAGTTGGGCAACATTTTGCAATTCACTAGGCAGGAAATTGCTTGCAATCCATTAGTGGCTTTACACAGTAGGAGCAAATAGGAACATAACCAAGGTGGCAGCTCAAATACCGGTTAGTCAAGCAGGTCCACTGTTGGAACATAGAAATAAGAGTAGGCCTTTCAGTGACCACTTCCTGCCCTCAATAACTTGTTTCACCATTAGATCATAATGGAGCTATTAACTCCATCTACTAGGTTAGATACAACCCCAAACATCCTTGTCTAGCAAAAACTGAAATATCCATCTGATTCCAAGCTTAGCGATTTTTGGTGCAGGTTGGAGAAAGGAGAAAAGAAGAATTTGCTGACATCAGCATGAACAGTCTAGCCCTAATTTTACTGCTGTGTTCCTTTGTACTAAATACCTCCAGAGGAAATTGCCTTGGCCTCAAATTCTTAGTCACTGAAAATTACGGAGTGATATTATTGTGCTTAAAGAAACACAAGCTATACAACTTAACCTTTATAATACTGATATCTTTTGACAAATCTGTACTACACCCAATCCATCCTTTGAAGTGCAGTACCCACAATGATATGTAGTACTTTTAACTTTATGCTAACTGCAGAACTAGTTGAGGGGGGATAAAGTATTACGTATCTTTGGGCAAGATGAAACTTCAAATGTACATTAAAAACACTCAGTTCATCTTTCCATTCATTTCCTGCTAAAGGGTTTTAAAAAAAAAAGACACTTTGTTCAGCTCCAATCCTCAAAAACTTCAAACGACCATGCTAATTGGATGGCAACTTCCAATGACTCACCTACAGTGTACATGCAGATGTTAGTCATTGAAGTCATCCAACTCCCTTTTTTAAATGGCAGCATCTGTGGAGAGAGAAGCAGAGTTAACACCGAGTCTTGAACGACTTCAGTTCAGAAAAGTCATACCAGACTCAAAACGTTAACTCCGTTCTCTCTCCATGGATCATGCCAGACTAGCCAAGTTAGTCCAGCATCTGCACCTTTTTTGAACATTTGCAGCAAAAAAAAAAAAAAAAGACATCAGGGTTTCCCAAAGCGGAGGTTGCAAGCTGAGATTCCAGAGTGAAGGTCAGAGGCAATAATGGCTGCAACAGAGCTTCAATCAAGCAAATGGATGCTAGATAGCTATAAATCTTGCATTCTTGTCCAATTTTGACAATGGTATAAATGATAACCTAGGGAAGCCTGTTTTTACATCAGGAGCCAATGATTTTACATGCTTTTAGAATAATGATCTCCCACAGCTCCTCTATGCCACACAGCTCCTACAGTTCTCACGGGGGGGGCACACAATTTTCCAGCAACCTCCCTAGCCAAGCTATTCCACTACAATTGCATCTACTCAACAATGCCAAAAACTGCACATGCATTTCCTGTACACAAAAGAGCAGGACAAATCCAACCTAGCAAGTACCGTACTAAATCAGTCTTCTCTCAACAAATGATGGAAGAAGTCAGACAGTGCTATTAAGCAGCACCCACAAAAAGGAATACAGTGCTCACTGGCTCGCATTGTGAATTCTGTCAGCGTAGCTTAGCTCCTGGCCAAGTCAGAAACTTGATGGAATGAATGCAGTTCCAATAATATTCAAGCAACTCAATACCACTTGCTGGACTAGCATCACATCCACAAACATTCACTCCCTTCACCACTAATGGTAACACTACTGTCATGATCTACATGATTTTCTGCAGCAAGTCACTGAGGCTCCTTTGACAGCACCTTCCAAACCTAAAACCTCCATCACCTAGGACAACGGCAGCATGTGAATGGGAATGCCACCATCTGCAGTTTCCCTTCCACATTACATACCATAGTCACTTGGGACTACATTTCTTCACTGTTACTGGTTCATAAGAGCTGCTAGACTGTTCCAGCATTGTGGTATGGGGCATTCAAAGATTGTAGCTACTCAAAGCACCTCACCAGGTGTTTCTTCTGAGGGATTAGGGATGGGCAATAAATGCTACCCTAAGTTGTGAAATCCAACTATGCTCGTATCCATCTATTGTCTCACTCAAATTGTCACAACAAAAGCACCTCAGTCTTCTTAACTGTGATACAGGCTCAACATTTCCTCAAACACAACCTCCATTCTACAACTCTACCTTCAAACTACTTCCAATAAATATATCCAACTTGAAGTACTGCATCCTGGGCTGGTCCTTTAAGTGTGGTCTAACACTCTACAAAGTTGTGCCAAGGCTTCCGCACGCTTATATTCACTTATAATAAAGGCCAGTCTAATTGCCTTAATCACTTACTGTACTTGCATGCTAACTCTAAATTTCAGATACAAGGAAGGTGGCATCAAGCTCTCTTCACTTCAATGCAGTACTGTACAAGTGTACTAAACCAGGAAGTGCATTAACTTATTTGTCCAGTTTTGTTTACAGCAAAAGAGCAAAATTGCTATACTTAGCTTACCACATAAGTCACTGCATTTTTGTTTTTAGCCAAAAAAAGTGAAGCTCCGCATGCTTGAACCCAAGATCACAGGCTTCAAAAATTAGTTGTAATTTTTTTTCATGGGGGACAGAAGAGGAGAAGGAGTGAAAAAGAAGGGAATAGAAAGATGACCAGAACGGTCTTAATTTTGAGAAGACCAACTAAAAAAGGTCATATAAATTTTGGCTTGTGTACTTTGTTCTTTGATTCAGAGCACAAATTTTTCCTTTTTTTGCTCCTTGGCAAAAAGACAAACCTGCCTTCAGCAAATTGGATAGTTCAACTTGATGGAAATCATGTATGCAAAATATTAACACGTGCAACGTTTGTCGAAACAATCAAATTGTTTGGTAAAATCATGTTATCCTGGATTGGTGTAGTACCTTAAACAAAAATAAAAGTGTCCTTCTAGTTTTAATGTTCTAAAGTAAATATCCATCAAGGCCAAACTAAAATTTGGTAAACTGTATAAACGAGAGCGCAGAATTAGGCCATTCGACCCATCTAATCTGCTCTGCTATTCAAATCACGGCTAATGTGTTTCTCCATCCCATTCTCCTGCCGTCTGTGACCTCAATACCCTGACTAATCAAGGAACGCATCTGTTTTGAGACACTCAATGACTTAAATGTTACAGAAGGCTGTGGAGGCCTAGTGCCACAGATTCACCACTTTCTGGTTTGAAATATCTGCAGTTTTCCATATGAAGTTAAGAAAATAAAATTTCAAGCTGGAAGCTCCCATTATTAACGGGTTGGTGTGAACTTTAAACTTATTAGTTTTACCTTATAACAAAACATCAATGTCAGAAATGTTGCCTGACAAC